CTCAGAATTGAGTACATGAACTCTTCTCCAGGGTACCTGTAGAGCAATGGTCAGGCAGAAGCATCGAACAAAACCATCATCAACGGAGTGAAAAAGCGGCTTGAACATGCCAAAGGCAAATGGGTTGAAGAGTTACCTCACGTATTATGGGCCTACCGAACTACAGCACGACGCCCCACAGGAGAAACACCTTACTCTTTAACCTATGGAATGGAGGCCATCATCCCACTTGAAGTAGGTCTGCCAACCCTTCGGTCTGAATTATTTGAAAGCTCCAGTAATGAGGAAGCTATCGCGCAAGCACTGGATATGGCAGAGGGCCGAAGAGAGGCAACGCTGATCAGACTTGAAGCATATCAGCAGCAGCTCATCAGAAGTTTCAACCCAAAAGTTTTCCCAAGGCAATTTATACCAGGAGAATTGGTTTTGAGGAAAGTCATGGATCACAAACGGGTGCCTAGTGAGGGCAAACTTGGGCTGAACTGGGAAGGTCCGTATAAAATCACAGCCGTTATTGGAAATGGAGCTTACTACCTAGAGGATCTGAATGGCAAAGCAATACCTCGGCCCTGAAACGTAGCAAACCTCAAGAAATACTATCAATAGAATCATCCCCTAACTTCTCTATCAGGATGTAAAGGCACTTATTTGTTGACCAAATGCAAATGTTTTCCCACTCCTCTCAAATTGCACCAATTCTTGTGATTAGCTTTCTTCTCAGGCGTATTCTCCTCCTACATTAAAGGAGAGAATGAAATTTAGTAGTCTTTTTGTGATTCAAAAAAAAAAAAAAAAAGGAAGAAGCCTTACAGATTAAATGTCAAATGGCTTTATTTAATGTCTAAGAAAACCAATTGTTTTATCTAGTAGGCACTCTAAGTCGGTATATTCCTATTTGGTCAATAACCCAACACAACAATGAACAACAAAAATTCATGGACACCAGCAAATCACAGAATGCATATTCCAAGTGACAGGTAGATTTGGAGCAATATAAAGGATGGCTCATTCAATATTTATTTTGATTTTGTCTAAGGCCAGCTATATCATCAAAGCAACATTGGACTTTTCCAAAGCAACCAATTCTTCAATCAGTTGTATGTTTAAGTACTAGACTAGTTTATTATTCATTGCTTCAATCTCACGCTGATTCTGATCCTAAACCTTTTAGGTTTCAAAACATGTGCAGACATCATGATTTTCAGAATGCAGTGCAGCAAAACTGGGATATTCCGATAGAAGAATTTTTAGAAGCAAAACTCAAGAATTAAATAGCTCAAGAAATGGGATTGTAACACGAATTTGTTTTATCAATCCACAATGACTAAAAGTAAAACATTTTGGGTTCATTACATAAAGTCTAAGGAGGTTCTGCGCGGGGGACACTAGAGGGGTTAAGTGAACTTCTATTAATTTTTCCCAAGAGCACTCGTTAGGGGCTTTGGAGTATGTGGATTTGGTATTGCTGGATGTGATTCTTTGTATAGTTTCTGAAGAGGATAATGCCCATTTAACTATTGTTCCTTCTTTGGATGAGGTTAAAAATCAATATTTGACTTGAATGAAGACAGTGTGGCGGGTCCAGATGGGTTTTCTGATTTGTTTTTCACCCATGGCTTGGAGATTGTGAATAAGGATGTTTATGATGTGGTCCTCAGTTCTTTTGCTGGTAACTCCTTGCCTGACAGTTTTAATAATCCTTCTCTTTGTATGTAAACTTTATTAAGTTATTACCAAATCGTTGGCTATTAAATTGGCATTTCTCTTTCCAAAAAATATTTCTCAACAGCATAGGGGTTTTGTGCAAGAAAGAAATGACATGGATAATGTGTTGCTTGCACGGGAGATGTTCAGCAGTTGAACCATAAGGTTTCCAATTATAAAGTTGCATTATAACCACAAATGGTGACTAGGATAGAGTTGCTTGGCTCTTTCTTACTAACAGTACTCAGCCACTTTGGTTTCAATAAAATGAGGATTGATATGGCATGGAGATGCATATTAAATTGTTCGTTCTCTTCGCTTGTTAATGGTCAGGTTTCAGGTTATTTTCATTCTTCTTGAGGGTTATGTCAAGTTGATCCCCTTCCTCTGCCTCTATTTAACTTTGACAGAAGCTCTCAGTAGAGGTTTAAATAACTTGTTTCAAGAAGGTCAAGTCATTTGAGTTTTTCACAGCCTACTGGATTGCCCCCTTGTTAGACATTTAGCATTTGTTGATGATATTGTCATTTTTACTAATGGTTACAAGAGAGCTATTCAGAAATTAAATGTTTTTTTCTGTACAAGTATGAGAGAATTTCTGGTTGACATGTTAACAAGGAAATTAATTGCTTTATTCTTTCGGAGAAGGCCCTTCCTGCTCGTGAGAATATTGCTTCTTTGGTTACTAGTTTTAGGCACAAAAGACTGCCCATTATTTATTTGGGCTGTCCTCTTTATGTTGGCTAATAAAATTAGGAGAAGGGCAGCGTTCTATGGGAGGTCAGCTCATTTTGTTGAGGCATGTTCTTCAAATTCAAAAGCATGCCTATCTTTATGTTAATGACTATGGACCCTCCCAAATATGTGTTGGACGATATTGAGAAATTTTGCTATTTTTGAAGGTTCAGATGACATGGTCCTAAAACTCATTGGAAGATGTGGGATTCCTTGTGCTTTCCAACTGAGTAAGGTGGAATAGGTTGTAACTTGCAAGCATTCTGATATGTTTGCTGCATTTAGCATTAAGCTCTGGTGGAAGAGAATGGTGTTTTTTCGGGAGACTAAACATAACATTTTCTGGCAGCTTAATAATGTGTTATGTGATTTATGGTGGGACTGTTAGCTTCTGGAGGGCCCTTTTTGGGCTGCTGTTCTGTCCTTTGAGCAGCAATTTTGTGTTTGAGATGTTTGGGTTAATGATTCATGGAATTGCCAGCTGTTGAACCAGCTTCTTCCTCATTTGGTGAGTTGTGTTCAGAATTTGAAAAATTGGACTTTGTATATAATCCAGATTCTGATAGCACTATTTGGAATCCTAATTCTGATGGTGTTTTCAGTAGCCCAATTCTGATGGTGTTTTCTGTGTCCTCAGCTTGGGATATGGTTTGAAAGGTAAAACGGCATATGTTTTCTTTTTCATCGCTATGGCATCCTTAATATTTCAGTTTTTATGTGGAAGCTGTTTAATAACATTTTACCTATTGTTGAGACTGTTCAGAGCAATGGTGTTCATATAGTTTCTCGGTGTTGCTGCTGTTTTCCATCTCATGGTTCAGAATTAGTATTACATTTATTTTCTGAGTGAGGCAGCTTCTTTTCTATGAGGGAAATTTTCAGACTTACATATATATATATATATATATATTCTCCCCTTCATCACCTGAGACTTAACTCTTGGTGGTTTGCTGGTGCAGATTATGATGTCATTAAGTTGATAAGACAAGTAGCTCCTCGTGTGATTTGTCGAAAGTAATGAAAAGCGAGGAGCAAATATCGCTGATCGTCTCCAGATTGCTCATAGCTTTTTCTTCTTCTTCTTGATTGCCTTAAGCCAGGTAGGTTCTTTTTGTGTCTCCAGCTTCTTTTCAAGATCCTTTGATTTTGCAGGTGTTGAATTTCCCCATTTATGCTGCAATTGCCGAGATTTTTTTTTTTTTTTTTGATACAGTGGGTTAATCCTAACCCTCCTTTAATCAAGCTCAATAGTGATGGTTGCAGCAGAGGGAACCCGGATATTACTGGAATGAAAAGGGTTCTTTCTTTGGTTTCTGTGTCTTATGGCATTGGTTCTAATATGATGGCAGAGACGCTGGCATGTGCTCAGGGTATTGAGTTGTGCAGAGAAAAGTTTTATTGAGATTGGGATGGACATAAGGTTTTGGTGGACACCATGAATGGTGTTCAGTAATGTTCAGTTGCTAGAATGAAGAAGCTGCATTTGGGGTTTCTTTTTGGGTCTCTCGTTGTTATAGGAAGCCACCAGTGTGGCAAATTGGGGTTGTGATTTTTCTGACTCTATTTTCGCTGATCTAAATCTCTTTCCTAAGCATATTAGAGATCTTTTGAAGTTAGGTGTGCTTGGTACTGTTCGAGAGGTTGGGCTTTTATGTCCCCCTCTCCTTGTACCTATTTCTTTTTTGAGTGATTAATAAAATTTTCCCTCATGCACCATGGTTTTTAATGATAAAAAAATTATATCTGACATAAAAATTGCAAATTAGGTATATTCTCAAGGACATCCTAGTCACTAAAGAATACAATTAAAGATTTTTGCAAAGTCCATGCTGCATGGTGCATATCATGGTCTTACAACTACTACAGTAATGTAATTGATACCTGACAGTTTATGCAAGAGACATATTAAAAGTACCCCCTAGAAAAAGAGGTGTAGGAAAAATGTGAAAATGTAAAATTTTACATGACACAACATATTTAAGAGAAGGGAAGTATTGGTAACTTATATGATTTCCAAATGAGAATTAGCTAAACAGCACCAATTGATGTAGATTACTAACATTATAGTTACCTCTAACACTCAAATCTACTAACACTATCAAGTAACACTTACTATACATGACATGACACATTTGAGAGAGAGAGAGAGAAGAGCAGTATTGGTAACTTGCTGACACTCAACTATGAGAACATAATTTTTCACACTACTGTATTTACCAGGAGTGTAGGAGAATTAGTCATGCAATCAAACCTTGTTTAGATGCGTAGAAAAATAAATAAATATAGTTGGCAAAAAGAAAAGATAAATTTCATTCTCTTGATAAAATAACATTTTCCCTAAAGAGAAGACTCCTCATTTTAACTTTTATTCCCAACACTTAAAAGGAAGATCCTCACACAAGAATCAAGGTCATGCAAAGATTTACAAATATGACAAAACTTCAAATTTTGAATCACTTCCATCCAATTTCAAGACTTCTGAAATTTCTGCCACTTCCATTGGGAAAGTTTAAAACTTTGCTGATAGTCAAGATTCCTTCATATTCTAAATGGGTTGAGATTAGTGACTAAGACCAAATTCAAACATTGTGTTCATGTCACATGAGAACTAAACTAATTTAAATATGCATAAGATTACTCACCCCAGATTTGATGCAATTTCACTGCTAGCTGTGTAACAGAACTTCTCTCTGCAAGATTAGAATAGCCCTGGTTGGCAGCTTCCCGAATTGCCGATAAAAATTCTTGCCTTGCTTTTGCTGAGAGACCAAGGTAATTTGGTCCATGGATAGCACTCAGGTCCACCACCTAAAAATAATGGATATCATTCTGTGATAAGAGTTTTTCTCCAGTCTCAAATCACTCTCAAACAAATTACTTAGTTAAGTGGAAACACAAGGAAATTGAACACTAGACAATAAAAGAAGAGCACAGTGCTAATTATCTAACTCACATTGAAGACTTCAAGTTAATTAAATGTTTTATAATTTCATTAGGAACGAATAAAAGTACATGAATTTATGAAAACCTCAGTGAGTCATTTATCACAATCATGAGACTCGTGATAAATAAGAGTCAGGAAACTCATGACTTTATGAAGGGGGAGAATCAGTAAGCCAAAAGGCTCATCTTCTTTCCCTGTTCTTGGAAAATCCCTATTCCCCATTGAAGTTTAATTAAATTCACATTGTAAATAACCATTCAAAACCTCAATACACCAATTATGGGGAAAGAAGGCTTTCTCAAACAACTAATTCTGAAAGTACTCATTTCATTCTTTTAGCCTACTATTCTATGTGACATAGTTAGGAGTAGTTGTGAAGTCACCAGGCAACTGTCTTGCTAGTAGCTCAGCAAATCATCCAATGCACATATTACCTCTAACTTTCCATATAGTATTACGTGGCATTTAAAGGTAAGAAGATTACATGGCCACTAATGCGGCCATTTAGTAAATCCTGTCCTGTCATTTGTCCAATAACAAAATGGGACCCATTAAAAATAGCTAGCTACAACAATAGTTATTGACAGCATCAGTTTAAAGTTACTAAGATAATTCTTTCGACTATCATTTCTATGAAATAAGGGATTTCCACAAAAAGCCCACGTGTGATGAGAAACTTTAAGGTCGTGGGACCTCCAAATATGGCTTCCAAATTATAATGAAAGTGGTGGATATAACTTGACCATCATTGATTGCGGATAATAAAAGCTCTCTTGACAAGAAAAACATGAAGATAAAATGAATTCATTGTCAATTTTCTGTTTAAGTTTTTTGCCTTTTCCATTTTTGGGTTGGGGAGTTGCTATAAAATGGTAAAATATCGGCAATCTTTTATCATCTGCAACCAGGGAGTGTAACAGTAACTGCTACTCTAAAAAGCTTAAAAAAGAAATTCCCATGCAACTGCAGATTGAAAGTTCTTACATAGGCACAAAAACACAAAAGACATCAATCAGTGTTTGTCTCTTTATGTGTGTGTACACTCACAAGAGAGAAGTTATCTGGTAGGTCCAACCTACCAGGCGACTGTACCCAGCTTTATAACAAGGGGACACAATCATTGTGTCTAAAATATAGAAGTAGGAGAAACTAGTTACATGACCCAATTCACCTGAAAGGGCAGACCACAGAGAATATTGGCCGGACCTGTTGAATATTTATTGCACGAGAGAGTTTTGGTTTAAAGACTGTATGAAATTTTATTACAATATCCTTTGTCCAAGGTCAAGGTACCTAATGCCATATATATATATATATTTAATCTAGTCATTTCCTATGATATTAAAAACTCAATAACCACCTGGTTGAAACTAGAAACCAAGCAGGGGTACTCAAAATACATGGGAAGTGCCCAGACAACAATGACAAGGGACCTTATCACCTAGGCTCTATCATTAGACAATTGGCTAGGAGGCAAGGCGGGCTACCACTCTTGCCAATGCAGGTTTTTTTTCCTTTTCTTTTACCAGAAATATTATGTTAAAGAAACTGGCTACGAACACTAGTCATGTTCACATTATGTACCTCCAAACACACAGGAAAAAAATAAAATAAAAGGCTCTCGTCCAGCGCTCCACATAGTGAACAAAAGAGAAGCTAGTACACAATACAATAATGACAAACATTTGAACCAAATGTAAGAAGAAATGTAGGAAAGTAACATGCCTGTTGCAACCAAGGGATTATGGAATTTATAAATCTTTGCTCCAGGAAGTACGATGCTAAAGTGCCAAGAACATTACTGGAAGTCTTGTTTGATAAACTTTCCAGAACTGGACCTGTTCTGTCAAGAAGTTCAATCAAGACAAGTTCGTCACCTGAACACAGAGCTTCTGCATATGCAGAATCGAGGTCCCCCTCTGATAGATAACCTTTTACAAGTGTCCACAGATTATTTTTCATTCCTGAACTGTTTTGTCTAGCACAAGTGGTATAACCTGTAGCACAGGCAGCATCAGTTTTTTTTGTTGGACCAAAATGTGTTCCCTGTCCAGAGCTTCTATGACTACCCTTCCCTATTGGCTTTCTTCTTATTTTGTCTGTGGCATCTGACCACATGTCGATCCCTCGTGTAGCAGAGCTATTTGATCTGCTCCTAGAAAATGCTTGTTCCTCCCAAATCTCTGTATTTTTCATACACAATAATGACGGCTGTCTATTACGTATCCCTTCGGATGGTCGGGGAGTGCATGTAGAGAGTCTAGGAGAAGCAGCACTTGGGCTCTTCTTCAGAAGTTTTGCAGTAGCTAGATCAGAATATCTCCCTCCATAAACAACATCTTGAGCTATTCGATCAACAGCGTGTTCCAGATCTGAGACCTTCAACTGTATCGAAGACAAGCTATCTATCGTGCTTGTTGTAAACACCTGAAATGCATTAATAAGAAACAGCTAGATATTTTATGGTTATAATCTAGGAAAGCTTGAGATGAAAAATGCATATCGCTTTAAGTACCCTCGTGCAAGAAACAATATTTTAAAATGAAAGAGCACAGAAAATCCAGGAACTTGAATGCTATACAATGAGAAGTTGGTTGCTCTACAATGATAATTTGGAAGGAATGGGGTATATAGCCACAGCCAAGATAAGTATACTAAACAAGTCTTGTTTTATTTTTTTTTAATTTATTTATTTATTTATTTTGATAAATCCAAACAGTTCATGTTTTCAAAGAAAACAATCAACTCAAATGTCAAAGTTAACTATTATGTGAGATATTAGCATCTTGTTGCCAAGTTATTTGTTTTCAACAAATCATGTCAGAGCTAGAGTAAGATAGGAAGTGGGAGCATAAGATGTGAAAATATCTTTAGCCAAGAGTATGTTCAGAGCACTAATAAATATTCCTAAGGAGTCTAGTATATCAATTACATATGTATGCATGTACATACATTATGATAGATTATAAATTATTTTGAACCAAAGTGGTTGCAGCACAATGATGAAAGTGCTGGCAATCCATCTAAAAGGGAGGATAAGAAGAAGGATTCAACTCTTATTGCATGCCAGTCAAAAATATAATTACTTTTCTTTTGAATTTTTCTCAATACAAGAAACGTGCACCATTTTTAATTTCCATTAAAAAGAATCAGGAAGCAGAAAGTTTATTAGAAGGTTCTTACAGCTGGTAGTTTTAGATTGAGTTCTCAAATGGGTCCATTCAATGATGTATGAAAAAACATTAATTAAAATATATTTCTAACATCATTAAAAAAATGTTAATTGACTTGATGAAATATTAATAAAAAGAGACATTTGTCATACAACTAGAAACTTGAAGGGGTAGAATGTAATTTCCAAAACCACAATGAGCAATCCGTATTTTAAGCAAATCTCAAGAGGTGTGCTTGTAATTTACCCATAAATTTAAAATAAGAGAAATAGATACAAGTGAATAGTCAAATATAATTAAGTGAAAAAGTAATAAAATCTTATAGAACTTGAAGATTGAACATTCAAAACATGTATAGATAAGGTTTTTACTTAAGTTCTATGTAACTAGAAAAGAGAAAATAGTATAGTATACAAAATTTATATAAAAGAAAAAATTTTAAAAATGGAAGTGTAACAGTCATAACGGTGTTGTAGCGGGCAATTTAACGACTGTTAGGTGATGGTGGTGGCCGTTACGGTTGTGAATTTCCATCTCACTGCTATAACGGCTATAACGGATGGCGATAACCACCACAATCGTAACGTAATGGCATTACGTAACGGTTGCGGCCGTTTTTAAAACCTTATACAAATATAAAATAGTCTGGGGAATGGAGATCCGAGAACTACTATGTTGAATTTAGGAAGTAAGAATATTGTAATTAAAGTAGTGTGTATAAAATCCGTGATTGTGTAAATCATGGATTTAGTGCCTTTATAGTTTCGTTTCCTGTTTTGTTATATTGTTTCATTATAAATACATGGCTCTACTTCATTCATAGGTAAGCCAAAAACATATTTTTCATTCTTTTCGATATCAGAGCCAAAGCATAGAAACACTAATCCTCTGCTTATCCACTATCGACACCTCTGCCCATTGCCCACCCACTTTTTTCATCTTCCTCCTTGAGTGCCGACAATCCCTTTCTAGCCTTCTACTTCACCCGATACCCCCACTCAACCAGCCTAGGCCCCCCAAAACCATCTACCCAACCCTTTACACCCCTCAACAAGCTGCCCTAGTGCTGCCGAGGCCCTTATTGGCTGCCGACTAGGGTTTTTCCTAGCTATAGATGCTTCGGCAGCTCTTCTAGGGCAATTCAATCCATGTTTTTTCCCTTTCTAGGGTGTGGGGCTGATATATTAAGTAAAAAAATTCACGGTTCCGGTTACCGCAACCGTTACACTACGGCCTTTACACCCCGCAACCGCAACCGCGTCACCGCCACCGTTACGGCGACCGCAACTGCTTTTCAGAACCTTGCACCTACCCAACCCTTTACACCCCTCAACAAGCTGCCCTAGTGCTGCCGAGGCCCTTATTGGCTGCCGACTAGGGTGTTTCCTAGCTATAGATGCTTCGGCAGCTCTTCTAGGGCAATTCAATCCATGTTTTTTCCCTTTCTAGGGTGTGGGGCTGATATATTAAGCACTTTTTGGCTTTTTTTTATTCAGTGGACTACCAAACTTGTTCGATAGCATTTATTTGGATTAGCCGTTAAGTTTCTTCTGACTTCTCGTAGCTTTCTAGACTGTGTTACTGTGACTTTGTGTTTTCCAACCCTTATTAATCCACCATGACTGATCCATCCCATGTTGTTGCTTCTTATATGCTCCCAAACCTATCCCAATTAGTTCTGATTTGTCTCTCTCATCACACTCCTGTTCATCGTATTATGAGTGTGTTGTTGAATGAGAAAAGCTTGGCCACTAGAGGCCGCTCTCTTAAACTCTATTTTAAGGGGAAAGGAAAAGGCCCATTGGCACCTATCTTCTACTACCTAGCTTGCTACGACAGACCCCACATGGGCTCAGTGGAATATTGATAATTGCACTATTCTAGGACGGATGTTCAATTCCATGGAGGACCATATTTACCACATGTGTTTTTATTGCAATAGTTCCAGGTCTATGGCAAGCCTTGTCACAGATGTATGCTTATGCTCATAATGATGCTCGAATCTTTGAGCTATATCAGGTCATTGCTCGTACTTCTCAATCTGCTTTGGGCCTTTCAATGTCAAAGTTCTTTGGATATCTCCAGGCTTGTTGGAAAGAATTGGCTCAATATGAGCCCTTGACTGAGTTACTTGTAGACGCAGCATCTCTTGTGTCTAAACGCCTTGCCCGCCAACACACTTACCAGTTTCTAATGGGTTTAAACTCTAAGTTTGAATCCCTTTAGACTCAAATTTTAAACACATCACCCATGCCATCCCTCTATGAGGCCTTTGCCACTATTGATAGTGATAAGTGCCACAATGTCTGGTTCAACCTAGAGTTCCTCCTCTAGTTCTACCTAATCAAATGGCCCTTGCTGTGAATTCTGATTCTCGAGGTACCACCAGTTCTGTTAGATGTCATCATTGCAGTGCACTTGGACATGTTAATATTCGTTGCTTCAAAGCTCATCCTGAATTGAGGCAACACTCTTCTCACAGTCGTGGTTCTGGCGCACCCCGCACTACTGCTTTGGTGAAAGTGCTCCTATTTCTAGGTTTACAAACTCAAATTGGTTAGCTTCAGACTCAGCTTGGGTCTCTCACCACTAGTTCTTCTAGTCCATCATCCTCAACTACCACCCTTGCTACAAGTACTTCTGCTTTCTATGTTCGGTCTGCTAGTCCTTCATTAGTTCTGGATTCTGGGGCTAATGATCATATAACTGGTGAGTTTTCTTTTCCTCTCCTGAACACACTATTGTTGCTCAATATGTATGTCTTGTTAATTGTTCTTCCTCCTCTGTACAGTACAAGAGTGCCATCCTTTATCTTCTAATATCACTTTATCTTCCGTATTGTATGTTCCCAATTTTGCTTATAATCACTTATTTGTTAGTCGCCTTGCTAAAACCTTTAATTGTGTTGTCATCTTCTTACCCTCTTCTTTCTTCTAAAGGACCTGAGTTCAAACAGGATTTTTTGCAAGGGATATTAGCATGATGGGCTATACTACTTTGGGGATCCACCGGACCAACATTCTTCTCCTTTAGCTAGTTTTTAAGCGTCTGTTTTGCTTGCTTCTATATCTTGTGATTTTTCAATTCAAAATTTAGAGTTATGGCATGCCCGTATGGGTCGTGTCAATTTTCAATAATTATATCAACTTTTTCCTTTATTAAATAAAGCTTGCAATGATTCTAAAGCCTCATCTATCAATTATACATTTTAGCTACAAAGTCAAAAAGTTACTATAAGTTCTCATATCACCGTCTGTACTTTTCTGCACATCTTTTCGTAAAAAGCCAAAAAGTTAAATAACATGTTCCCAAACAAGGTCTAAGTTTGATTGTGTTACTTGTGAGTTGTCTAAACATACCCAGACTACCCAGACTAGCTAAACATACCTAGTGCTTTTGACCTTAGCCATTCAGATATTTGGGGTCCTTCTCATGTTCCTGCTTTTTCGGGTCATCGCTATTATGTGACTTTTATTGATGATCACAATAAGTGCACTTGGGTCTATTTGCTTCGCCGCAAGTCTGACGTGTTTCCCATCTTTGTTCAGTTTTTGCTAATGGTTAAGACTTAGTTTCGTATAGTTGTTGGGAATATCCGTTCTGATAATGGTGAAGAATACATCTCCAATGAGTTTCGTTCTCCTCTTAATCAAACGGATATTCTTTAACAACTCACGTGTCCTCGAACTCCTGAGCAAAATGGTGTTGTTGAACGTAAAAACCATCATATTATGTCTGTTATGCGCTATCTTCTTCGTGGTATGAGTGTTCCCAAGTCTTATTGGCACACGGTTATTCTTACTGCGGTCTATCTCATTAATCGAACACCTAGTTGTGTGTTACATGGTCTTATAGCATTCCATATTCTTATGCCCAACACCACTCTTTTTCCTATCTTACCTCTTTTTTTTGGGTATACCTGTTTTGTTCAAGATCGGTGTCCCACTTGCACTAAGTTAGATGATGTGTCTATTCGTTGTGCCTTTTTAAAAAGTGTTTGTTTGGACGGACTAGATAAGGAGGGATTGTAACGCAACGAACTGATAGTCCTGGGATATATAATATTTGGCTGGAAATTGGAATGTTTGTATCCCATGTCTGTTTTCTCATGCGATTAAATGTTTGGAAACGACTATTTTAATAGCTCTCATATTTGATTAGAAAATTATGAAGTATATTGTTTAAATTATTTACAATGGCAATACTAAATTTCAAGTGTATTTTATTTTATTTTATTTCATTTAAACTATGTTT